GGCTATTCTTACACATTAATGTGCTTTGATGTCTGCAGTTTTCAGCTTCTTTCAGCTATGCTGTGGATTTATGCAGCTCCTGCAGAGTAAGTGACTAAGGCTCTCCCCGCCTGCCTGTTTAATTAAATTCAATTCAGTTTATTTATGTGGCCATTATACCAGATCATACAGTCAAATTAATTCAAAGTTTTCTATCTAAGGAAAAGCAGTTGATTGCATCGACTCATTCACTCGAAGGCAATCCCTCACACTAAGCATTTAGCTGCACCATGTTTTAATGGGTTCTCACATTTTAACCAAGCATGATTTGGATTTGTCTATCAGATTAAAATCCTAACTAAACCCTAAAGTTTTAGTTTGAAACATGGACAAGGTTCTCACCATCATCTGGTCGCAGAACTTGTCGTTGAAGGAGTTAGGGAAGAGGCGCGTGACGGAGGTCAGGCGATTGACCACGTTGAGTGTCAGGCTGCGGTAGTCGCCCAGCATCATCAGCAGAGGGCGCATGTGAGTGTGGATCTGGTCGACCTCGATAGTCGCACCTTCCAGGAACTGCAGAGTACAGAAAGACGTAAAATACACATGAAGGACGAGTCTTTCACATGTCAGGAATCTGGAAGAGAAATCATTCTTTTCAGGCTGTTTCTACGTTGACCTACAGGCACAAATGTATGAATGATGCAAACCTCAAGTGATTGAATGAATCTGCACAGTTGCTCTACATAATGTGGGTCAAATAGACCAAAAAGGGGAGTTGATGGGACCAGACCCAGAATAACGAAAAAGGTAAGTTTTCCTTCATGCTGCATTTAGAGTTTGTATCTTTGAAGTGTTGGCACCTGGATGCCTCCGTACTTATTTCATTATGATGATCTATTTTCAGCCCCTTAAACCGATCAGTTTATCCACTATCAGAACCTCTCAGGACACCAGGTGTCACCTCTAAGGACCAAGGCTACCCAAACGAGGAGAAGATGAACAAACACAGATGCCAACCAAGCAGCGATGACGCACGCCCTCACTCAGACGGGGAGGGGATGATGCATGGCAGCCACATTCATTTTCCTTTCAGCGCTGAGAACAAACACTCCATCCTGTATCGATCTAGCCATGGCAACGCTCATTAGTGCTAGCAGGGCAGAGATGAAGGGATGGAGAGAGCAGAAAATGGAAAGAAAAAAATTACAGCACAGTGAGGAGGAGTGACAGAGCCGCAGAAAAGAGAAATAAGAACAAAGAGCAGTGAGTAGATGGATGGAGGAGGAGATTACATGGATACTCTGATGGATATAAGGAGAAGTGGTTCAGGGACAGTGTGATGAAGTAGACCAGGTTCATATGAAGATAAGTGGTAGGAAAAAAATGGAAGCAGGGAAGGACTAACAGGAGCGATTCCAATTTACAGGAGGCAGAAAATGAGATTTAATTTAAAACGGCACCATCAGGTTTCCTCACTAGATTGCTTCATACCTTAAGGGCACAGACTAATCCATAATTACAAAGGTTACGTCTGCTGATATACAGCCCTGTTTGGCTCAAAAGACATTGGAGACGGAAATAAGGAATAAAAAGCAACTGAAATTAAATCTAAATCTAATCAATAACAAAAAGGCCTTTGGAAAGCAAGGTCAGGGAGAAAAGCGGTAAAAAAAAAAGAGATGGGTGATAAATAAAAGCAGGTTTTTATCCTTTTTTCCCTTCTTAGAATAAACAAAAGTAAAACAAAAACTACAGACTTCAAAAACTACAGATCAGGGCTGCTTGGGGCCTCAGCAGACCATATGGGGGTCCACCATAGAGAAGAATTAATTAGTATTAGAAAATCTCATACGAATCATTTTAAAGGAAGCTGACTTAATGTTATTCACAACAACTCTGTCCAGTTCTGTCCATCTAACAGATCATAGGCACAATCAGATGAGAGAAAAATGGTCTCTAAGGCTGTTAAAAAATAAACCTGGATATGAAATCTCCTTATAGGAGGAAAAATAAAATATATATTAGTGTAAATAAGTGCGGTCCCAAAGCAGGGTGCTGACCTTCCTCATGCATGCTTCACCAGCCTCCTGCAGCTCATTGTTGGTAGAGTTCAAAGCTTTAAACAGAGCAGCGATGATCTTCTCCCTGGACTGAGGTAAGTAGTTACAGGCTGCCAGAGCATCTGATGAACAGGAGAAATATCAGCATGTAACCATCACAAGGCTTTTTCAGCACCGCTGGGTTATGGTCCGCCGGGCCGACTTACTGAGGGCAGCGATGCGGAGCGGAACCAGAGAGGGCAGGCTCTTGTAACAGGGCAGCTTCATCAGAGCGGCATCCTCTGCCTCGCACAGGTTCAGGAGCTAGATGTGGTTTAAAACGACACAGAAACAAGATAAGTTTATGGTTTTGTAGAGCAGGAGAGCGGCTCCACTGGGAAGGCTGCATACCTCCGTGTAGAAAACCTTATGCTCCATGACATTCAGGTCCATTGTAAAGAGGCGCGGCTGCAGGGTGGTGCAGAAGGTGTTTCCCTCCATCAGGCCAATCTGGGCGTTAGCCGGCTGGTGGCGGAGCAGGTGCTTCTTCGGAGGAACCATGTCTTGTAAAACCTGAGGAGAATGTTAGTGTTAGTAGGAAACTAAGGAGATAATATCGAGTTTTTCTCATTTAGACAAAGGCAGCCTTCCCTCTCAGAAACCCTGACAGTGATACCTCTTTGTGGGGCTCCATGATGACGGTGACGCTCTTGCCAGTGACCTGGGCCAACACCTGCAGGGAGTGCATGGCCTGCTTCCTGACGGTGGAGTTGGGGGAGGTGACCTCCCGGACCAGGTCGTGGGTCACCATGTGGAAGGATTTATCCTGGGCAGCCAGCAGCTCCTCAGTCTTCTCCTCATCCTTCAGGGGTGTGGCACAGCGCACCAGCAGCTGCTCCAAGGTGGTCTTCGCCATGGCGACAGCTCCGTTCGACACCTGTGGAGAAATGATTGGACGACGACCTCAGGATTCAGAAAAAAAAAATCAGTTTCACATCCACTGAAGTGAATCCCACCTCTCCAGTCAGGTCCATCATGACAAACAGAAGGGCTTTGAGAAAAGTGAGCTGGTTCTGCAGGACCCAGATCAGAGGCAGTCTCTCCATCAGAAACTTAATGGACACCACTCCGCCGAGCTTGGCGTACCACGCCTGCTCGTAGCAGCAGGCACACAGACGCTCCACAATGTAGGAGAACAAGGGCAGCTGGCAAGCCTGGAGACACACAGATCAGTCAGCCTCGGTGTTTAACAGAAGAGAGGAAGCGCCATCAGTGCCAGGACGGGCTACCCTACCCTCTCCTTGGAGCCAAGGATGATGCTGGCCACGTCAAAGATGACGGCCAGAGCAACCTCTCCGATCTTACACAGCTCCTTCTCCTCGTAGGCCATGCAGATGGCTATAGCATCGATGAGAACCAGTGGATCCATGCCCTTAGAACCGTTCTCCTCGCTGTGGAACATGGCGGTGCTGGGCTGGCTGCCCAGCTGGTAACATGGCAGCAGGAAAGGCCCTACAAGGAAATCAAAGAAGTTGATCGTTCAGATCGCTTTGCTTTACATGAAGAATCAAATCAAACATATTACCAACAGACCCACTATCTTTGTTGCTAAAGCGGCTAAATGAGTGCATAATTAAATAAGCCCTCACCGCACTGCTGAGCCACAGCAACCATGGTGTAATGGCGAATCAGGCTGGCTACGAAGGGCAGCGCACTGGGCCTCAGGTCCTTTATCACAGCGGACATGAAGGCTCCGGTCAACGCCTGCTCAAAGGTTCTACGGGCCGGAGTGTCCTGTGCCTTGTAGCGGTGGGAAATGATGACATTGGGAATCCACTTCTCTGTGAAACTGAAGGGAAAAGGGCGACACCAGGAGTCAGAGGATCATCAATATCCACCCATCAAAGTCGCTCTGCATTGCTCTTCTTTTATTTTCCTTGCAAAACTTTAAGAGGAACCAGCAGCACAGAAAACGCTGCATTGCGTTTTTGGGAGGAAGTATGAACCTGGTGTAAATTGGGAGACGCCTTGGATAGTCCTGTCAACAGTTAACAAGAATCCAAGGGGCTACTTGATCAGGTAAGAGGCTGAACACCTGAGAGTAACTCAGCAATCAGAGCTCCTCCATTAATGAATTGATTAATTCATCTCTAAATCTTTCACTCTATTGTGTTCATTCAGTAGTCCTTGTGTTTCGGGTTCAGTACCAGCATGTTTAAAGCATTATAAGCTCCAAGGCATGGCCCCACAGCGCCCCCAACAGGCAGAAAACTACATAAATGCATTGGATGGTTTCAGATAATAGCCTCAGCTAAAGCCTGCTATTTACTTTACAGCAGTAAAGAGAAATGTTCTGGAGGGTCCAATATTCAGAATGATCAGCTGTATCTATAATTATTTACAGGACAGAGCCAATCAGGTGCCATCCATCAGACCTGCTGTTCCAGCAGGTCTGATGGATGCTTGGTTGATTTATGCTGGTACCATTGTCCTAAAAAAACAACTGCTTCTATCCTATTTTGCTATTTTTTCCCACTTTCAGTAGATCGGTTTGATTCATTGAGTCTAGAAAACAAAATAAGTGTTTTGTTTTTTTTATAATCATTTGCATACATGAATAATTTAATCGGATTTAACTCTGACATGAATTAAAATTCATTTCCTTAATGCTTTTAGAAACATCCAGACTTTGTTTTGTTTCCTGAGATTATTATCAATTGAATGCATCTTTTAACAATTTCTACAAAGCTATAAATTATATTCTGGATGATTCTATAATACAAAAGCTCAACTTGATATTTTCCAAACATATATAAACCTGTAAGATAACAGAAGTCGATTCAAGACTTCTAAACAATAACGGGAAAGAGGAGCCACAGCAAACAGAAATACATAACTGACAATGAAAATGCAGAATGTCTACTTACTTGGGATGGGACAGCAGCTGGTAGAGAGCGTGTTTATTGTCGTCCAGGCTTGTCATGGCCACCAGGAAACACTTGATGACCTCCCAGGCCTGTCTTCTGTAGTAAGGCTCAGTGTTGGCACTCTTCAGACAGTCTAGAGCCGTTTCTATAGCCTAACGAAAAAAAGAAAAGAAGTAAAAATAAGACTAAATCCTTTAAACGACCCATTAATGGGATGAAACGGCCAAGTTTGATCAAATTATAACATATTCTATATCTTAATAATTCAGCTTATATTCAATGTGTCTGATTAATTGGCTGAAGGAAAGCCAAGCACCATCTGGTCATTATCATCTCCACATTATGAGCGCCCTTCAAGGCAGAAAATGGACCAATTATTGCCACTCAGAACAAAGACGAGTCCAAGAATCAGCGGAGGAGATTCGGTCACAGCATGATGGAAGCAGAAACTCTTCAGAGCATCAGGAGGAGGAGCATCTTGGCACAATCAGAATGTATTAAAAGGTAAGCTATGTTTAAGACCTCAATTGGATTTCTTCATCAGATTCTCTTTTTTTGATTGAATATAAAATCACTAGAAGAAAAAAATAGAACACCCTAGTGCTGTGCTAAATTGTTCCCAACCATCAGATTACCGCCACAAACTTTTAGGGGTTTCAGATTCTGGAATTACTGATTATTTTTCTTTGTAAAGAAACTCTAGAACATTTGTTTCTACTCAGGAGTCAGGTCTGAACTTTTGATTCTGATCTAATCCATCCATCGCATCTGAAGCTGGACATTCATGGTGGCTGTCCTGCTGGAAGGTGAACCTCCAACACGGGTTTCTGAAAGTCTGACAGGTCTGGCCTGCTGCCATAGACACAACCTTAACTACTACAAGTTTTTGATCTGATAATCATAACATACAGAATGAGTATTCTAGAGAGGCTTTTCTGGGATCTGTCCAGGTCTCATATCAATGATAAAGTAACAAAGATGTGACTGGTTCTGGAGAGACTGTAGAGTCTCAAGAGGGTTGTCAAATTATTAATATTCTTAAAATAATTGATACACAAACACGGTATCCACATGGCATCAATGCTGAAAGCGTGTGTGGTTTGCTTATTTTTCCGCTTGTTGTTTCTTTTTCGTACTGATGTAACAACTGGCTAGCTCAAGTGGTAAGTGACCCGACTTGCATACAGGACGCTCTGGGTTCGAATTCCCGCTGGGTGAAATGAGCTGCCATTTGGGGTCCTTAGGCAATACCCCTCACATTAATGCCTACTTTGTAAGTCGTTTTGGATAAAAGCATCTGCTAAATGCATTAACATAAACTAGCATCTTTGATTCTATTGAAAACTCCTGTTCAATGGTAAAATAAAAAATAGGAGGAGAGGTTTTACAACTAGGTCTGGGTAAAAAAAAAAATCGATTTAATCGATTTTGAATTGATTCCTTTACATTTTTGCAAAATCGATGTCTAGGGAATGAGATCGATTCATTTTATAGTGACGCGCATGAAGTTCACATTCAAATGAGCAGGAAAGATGCATTCAAGATGATTGAAGATAATGCAGCTCATGAATGTCTGCTGTGTCACGTCTGCCTGCTCAAGTGTGGCTTCACTTTTTCACTTTTCACAAACAAGTTTGCACTTTTACGACAGTTTTGTTCACATCTCCTTTTTAAACTTTCTGATTCACAAGTTTGCCCTTTGTGTTTAATGTGACAGGAAAAAACAAAATACATGAGTATTTTGAAACACAGTTGAACCACTTTCATGATCGTAAAAACGGATTAAATCGAAATTAATCGATTTAGAACTATATGAATCAAAATCGAATCGATTCAGGACTGGCGAAAATACCCAGCTCTATTTACAAGTAAATTTTTTTTTTTGCCTTAAAGTGGTAACTAAGAGTATAGATTAATGAATATTTACCTTGGATATTGATCGGTTTTGACATTTTAGTATCATAGCAACCAGGGTCTTGAGAAAATGGCTGCTAATTTGGTTCACTCTACTGTAAGAATATTATATACTGTTCTAGTATGAAAATAAATCAAGGCATTCTTCTTTTACAATGACGCATTCTGAACTACCGTTCTTGCTTACACTGTTCATCACATGATCTTGTTTAAGGGGGGTTGTCTAATGGCTGAAACAGGGCACAGCCATTAGAAAGAGTAAATAATGCTGTCATGGTGGCCCTGCACTAGATGGATGATTACTGAGGATGAGGAGAAACAAGACATGAATTTAATTACCTGAAGGACTCACACATCTATCTCACTGTCCCTACCACACACACACCTGTGACAAAGATACATCACTTTGAGTGGAGAACAATAATGAGGAATTTAAAGCTCCTTTAGAGCCAATTCTTTCTCCCATCAGCCTAAATACAAAAGCAAGACAGGAGAAAAGGCATTGATACCAGCAACGGATCTTCATCCTTTCACCATCATCCTACCTTCTCCATGGGGAGCTGTATGGACGCTTTGCAGTCAGTGAATTCCACCTTAATGCTGGGACCCTGGACCTCTGTTACCACATAATGCAGCCTCTGAGACTCCTTCAGCATCTTCCTGTTGCTGCCTCCAAACTTGCCCAAGACCCGGTACGCTACGTGGGAAATGCTTTCTGCAGGGTTACGGAGAGTTCGCCACAGGGCCTGGAGGACGACACATGCATATCAAGCTTTAAAGAAAAAAAAGCTTTCTATTGAGACACAGAACCAACCGGAGCCTGAATACTGAGAGTGAAGGTAACAAAGTTATTTTACAGACTGGTTTGTGGATCTAAATGGAAGGAACAGCCAAACTGTATGGTACTAAAAAGACTGAAGGACTTCAAGCTTTTTGATTGGTCCTCAAACCTTATTGTCAATAAGCATTGACTTGTTTACTCACTAATGGGGAGTAAACAAGCTAATGCTAACCTAGCACCTTTAAGCAAGCTGTTCTACATGATTTAAATGACTTTAGAAAAAGGAGGATGTCCTGACAGCGTAGCAAGGAGTCAGAGGATCAGAGCATCAAGAAGAGGCTCCCACCTGCATGAGCTCCGCCCTGACAGGCTGGATGTGATCATAGAGGAAGTCAGGTTGCAGGTTGTCCACGCACAGCTCCAGAGTTCGGAGCCCCTGGCTGACCAGAGTCTGGGAGCCGTTGAGCGCCGACACCAACGGGTCCATTAGCATGGGTAAGTAGGGCAGCAAGGAGCTGAGGCGGACCGGAACCGTCAAACACAGCTCTACAAATAGGTCCTTCATGTGCTGCTTGTGGAGGCCGCTCTGAAGCATGTTGAGACCTGATGGTAGAGTGGGAAACATTTTTCACATCTTTTAATCGAGATGCACATCAATGGCCAAAAGGATAAGTAAACAATACAAATAAAAACTTTTGAGTTCCAGTAGTGCTGTACCTTGCAGAAGATTAGGAAGAAGAGGCAGAAACTCCTGGTAGAGAAGGTCATGGCTCCCTCCACCAATGGAGCGGAAAAGAGCACGGAGCAGCAGGAAGTAGTTGTATGGCTCCTTGGCGGACTGAGCCAGCTCCATGGAGCTGTTCACTATCTTATGGAGGTGTGGCTGTAAAACAAAAACAAAAACACTTAGAGAGGAGAAAAGGCTACTGCGCCAGCATTAAACCAAAGTAAGGATTACCTTCAGCATCTGTTCGTTCTCAGCAGCAAACAAAGAGACTGAACCAAACACCAGTTTGAAGAGCTTCAGGTAAAGGTTGGAGAGCTCAACGTTGGAGCCCATTTCTGGCAGCCTTTCAAGAAGATACTCCACTAAAATGGTGGCGAACAGGGCCGAGGTCGACACGTTGGCTAGAAAAGAGTTCGCCACAATCTAGAAAACAGGAAACGAAAAGTGAACAAAGAGGATCAGAGGAGCAACCGGCCAGCAGAAAGCAGACTCCACTCTTTCGCACCTGTAAAGCATAGTTCTTGGAAATCCTCTCCACCATGTACGGCACGGTGGTCTGGAAGATCTCCTTGAATGTCAGAGGGTTCATCATGGTGAAGACCCCGGCGAAGTGCTCCAGAACCTCCTTCTCCTCCTTCATGCGGACGGTCTGGCAGTTGGCCACTCGGATGTACGTCTGCTGGTTGTTGGCCACTTGGACCTGAGCAGAAAAACAGCCAGACTCAGATCGGAAACCAACCTCAAACCAGAAGAGCTGGCTGATGGGCTCTACCTGGTAGATGTCCAAGGCCTGCATGGCGTATTTAACCAGTTTAATGTAGATCTGGGTCTCCTTCGGCTGGAGCTGCTTGTTAGGGATGAACTGAGCTTCTGAGGAAGGAAGGTGAAGGTCATAGATGATGAACAACCGACCAAATCACTAATAATCACAGATCAGATGATGCTTTTAACCTCGCTTACCTCCGGGAGCTTTGCAAGACGTAATTCCCCAAGTTATCGTCTTCACACCACAAACCAAGGTCTTAACCAGACTACGGCAGTCCGACACCTGAAAGGTCTGCTTGTCTTCCTTCTCTCCGGGTCGGTCGAAGGGCGTCGCAGGGGGAGGAGCCGTGGGGGCCACTGGTGTTGGAGGGGCGGGGGGCGGAAGGGCAGGAGTTGTGGAAGGAGTGGGCGTGGCCGGTACGCCTGGTAACACGCCGGGGTCGACCACACCCATCTCTGACTGAGGTTTGCACTTTTTAAAGATGGAAACCAGCTGGTAGCGTGCAATGGTGTGAAACTTCAGCACAAATACCTGTTTGACATGAAAGAGAAATCATGAAGGCTATTTCACGCGAGTACGTCTAAGCGAGAACGTTCAGCCTCATACCTCCAGCATCCTCATGAGAATGTCCCGCCCGTTTCCGTTCTCCTGCTCCGATTTGGAGCGGATGCAGTCCACCAGGTTAAGCAGCAGCTTGCAGGACATGGTCTGAATGTTGCTGGGGAGCGACTCGTCATCGATGTTCTTAGCGAAGAGCTGGACGGCCAGGGATAAATCAGTGAGGGGGAGGTTCTGCCGGACGTGATGCACCAGATCTGCCAGGGTGCTGTAAGCCAAAGGCCTGGAAACAAAGGGCTTAGATGAAGCTCAGCCATGCTGCTAAATCTAACCAAATACAGTGAAAATCAATAAGCTTCACTCTTCAGCTTTTCTTTAACAGAGCTGAAACAATAAAGAAGGGTCAACATGCAGCACCATGTAGGGGGGGTTCTGGGTTAATGAACAGCTCTGATGGTCCTGCCACATCCCATCCCTCTGATGTACTAATGTAGAACGACAGCCTATTTGCTGATGAGCTGAGCTCTTCTGAAAACTGACAGGAGGTCAAGGAGGCTCTGAACTGAAGTAGGAGATCGGAGGAAGGGGGGCCACATGATGACTTGACAGAGCAATCTGTCCTAAAGCGGTCCAGTCAGCTTCCCTCAGTTTCCCCAACAGCCAGAGGCTCCCAGTTAATACGATTGGACAGCTAACGCCCCCATGCAGCAGGTGGAGAAGCTCCAGGGAGAAAGAGATCGAGGAGGAACTTACCTAAGAGTCTCCCGCGCCGTGTAACCAGAGCCGATCAGGATGGATTCATCAAAAAGTTTGTCCATACAGGGAATAAACTCTGGAGCCCAAAAAAAGATGGAAAACATTCAGATCAGAGATTCAGACTGATCGCTGATGAGAAAAATGGATGAACGCGGGTGAAATGTATATTCCCTGTTTAAAGTTTGATCATCTAAACTTTAGAAGCAGCCGATTCTGTAAGCAACATTTGATAAATAAAAATACTAACAACATATACGAACAACAAAGCCTTGATGTTTCTGTCAAATATTGAAAGGAGCAACAAAGCAAAAATTTTAAAAAAATGCACATATTTCCACAGGATAAATATAACATCAGTGAAGATGTAACTCATGCTAGTAAGGCTACGTTCACACTGCAGCCTAAAGTGACACAAACCTGATTTTTTTGCCCATATGCAACCTGTATCTGATCTTTTCATTACAGTCTAAACACATATCCGATTTTTTCCAATGCGGCCAACGTCACTTGGCGATGTGGTCCTGAATCCGACACAAATCTGATCTTTTCAAATGCGACCTGAGTCTGAACGGCCAGGTCTCATTCATTCGACCTGAACATCATGAATACTCAACAAAGGTCACTTTTCTGCATCTTGCTACGCAGAAGCGGGAGAAAAACAATAACTAAGATTATGCAGAGTGAATAATACTCTTTTTTTTTTTAACCATCTTGAAAAGATTGAGTTTTAAGGTTGGGAAAGAACGCTAGATGCGTCTCAGCACTACCATCCATGTTTACTGCCGTAAACACAGAGCACGCCCTTGCGTCCTCTACTGAGCATGCGGGACACTAAGCTTTATGAATGCAGTTCACACAGGAGATCACACACAAGACTAATATATTTGGAAACGTGAACGACCACGAAAAAAAAAAAAATCAGATTTCACAAAAAAAAAAAAAAGTCAGAATTGAGCATTAAGGCCTGCAGTGTGAACGTAGCCTTTGAGAACCTTGACGTGCCCTTTCTCATTTTATCAATGCTGTTTACATAGACATAAACAGCTGCCTTTCTTCCACCCAAAATCATGAATTATTGTTCCTTTAAAATTGGCCATCAACTGCTAATTTAAAGGCTTTTAACGGCAGGGCTCCAGAAATGATTTAAAGTGTCAAAAGAAACTGTTGACTCATCTTGATTCAGCCATGGTCTCCAATCAGGGTTGAGAGCCTCAACACAAATGACCCAGATATTAATATTCTGACTGAAGAGAACAAACCAAGCCCAGAACTACTATTTGAGATGAACATCTGTGGAGGACTGCGAACACATACGGCTGCGCAGGTCGGTGGTCAGGATGTGTTTGGCCGCGATCAGCAGCTCCTTGCGGAGGTGTGCGGTTTCAGAGGGGCAGTTGGAGAGGAGCTGCAGCATCCCCTTCACCAGCTGTTGGGAGTATTTCCCCACCAGGTCCTACAGGGAAGGCAGAGACACTGGAGGTTATCGTCATGGCTACAAGAGTTAGCTACGTCACAGGAACAGAGCACCACAGAGTAACATCACTGTAAAGCAGAACAAGAATTTATTTTTCTTTTACAACCAAAATTTGGCAGAAGTTATTCTTTAAGCCGTCTTTACTCTGATGCCCATAAATAAAAATTAAGTCTCTGTCGTATCAAATAGGAGTGGGTTCTAGAACTGGTAATATAACCCTTGATCTGCAACAACTAGGCCTACATGTCATTTCCAGAAGCTTCAATCAGGCGGGAAGCCATCTTTGGTTTTATTCCAAACATGATCTGCTGAGACCGCATTTACCTGGTAGATGCGGATGATGTAAGCCAGGAAGGACAGGGTCTTGATCTGGGCAGCGATAAAGTCAGCATACAGCTCCTTGTTGAATAATTTGTGATGCCTACAAAGAAAACAAACCTTTTAAATGATGCCAATCATGCCCAACGGCTGCAAACCAGTCAATCAAATGTACAGATAAACTCTCAGAGGTAGAGAGTTTAAAAAAAACCCCATTTAACATCTTTCACCTTGAAGGGCCCGGTCCGTTTCCCTGGGAACCTACCTGGCCTGAGGAGACACCTGGAGCATGATGGTGTTCATGATGAGGGGAACAAACTCTGACACCACGTTGTGGATGTTCAGTTTATACAGCTGAGAAGACAAAGCAGACATCAGTTCACCCCCACTGCTCAATCAATGTCCGATACTTCTAAGCCATATATTTCCTCATCACCAGTAAGAACCAATGGTTCTGAGTGAGGAGACGGGTCCAAAAGAGGTCAGGAACACTGCCACTCACCTGATACATCAGCACCACTATTATGGGCAGTTCTGCCAGAACCTTCAGAGACAGGGACCCCCTAGGAATGATGGTGTGCTGAGGGCAAAAACAGAAGATACAGAACCTCAGGAGACAGAACTGCTGAACTAACACCTGAAACCAGTAAGAACGGAAGCAAACAGTCCAACTGAACATCTAAAGTCAAACAGGTGGAGATAAAAGTATCTCTCTGTGAGTCTTTGCTCCTTTTTAACCGGGCTTTAGATGCCTTTTGGTCTGGTTCTTGTGAACAGAACTGCATCTCATCTCCATCCTGTCCTGTAATGTTGCGATGCTGCCACTTAGTGGCTGCTCTTGGTACTGCAGAATAAACCAACTGGAGTTCAAACAGTGATCAGCAGCTTACCGTTCGCGTCTCGCTGTCTTCCCTCTCAGGTGCAGTCTTGACCAGGACGGATGTGATCATCCCCACCATTTCTGGTGAGGGTACCGTGTTCTCAGCGATGACCTGAGGGTTCTCAAAGTACCGCGCCTAAAGGCAGACACAACAAGGAGCTACAGTTTCCAAAGTGATCCTTTCAATTTAAAAAAGGCTGAGTTTTTACTTACCACCACTTTTGGAAGGTCTTTGTAAATCTGCTTCACAAAGTCCAGAAAGTGATGGATCTGAGAAAAAATTAGATGAAAATGTAAAAGGTGCCTCTTTGATGTACAGAGACCCCATCCTCCATGAATTTTGTACTATTTCTAAGCACATCAGTTCTATAGAGCTCACATCAAAGCCACCCAACCAGACTTTCACTTAGTTTATTAATCGTTACACATCAGCTTGCTAGAACACCATGACTCCACATCACAGCCGACTCTGTGGGAGCATTTGGGATCATTACGGCTCTGTAGTTTCCTCCAATCACAAATCAAGAGGTGAATCAAGGGGTGGGCTGACCTCAACTCCCCTATGCTGTTTCAACAGCTTATATCTGATCAGAAAGCCTAAAAAAAGGAGTTAAGACCACCTTAAAGAAAGCAGAGACACCCACCTCCTGCGAGATCGGAGGTCGGAACTGCTTATGCAGTTCAATGATGATCCGGAGGCAAATCAGAACATTTTCCTCACTTTCAATCTAAAAAAGAAAGAAAAAAGAAAGATAATAAACAGGACAAGGAGGTTATATTGCCATGTTATCAATCCTAAATTATAGCAGTTGAAATAGGATATATATTCATAACATTCAGGGCTCATGTTTGCTGTGGAGAAGCTGATGGATTGTTAGGACCAAAAGGGTTTTTACCTCCAGAAAGCGAAACATGACGGATAAAATGTTCTTGGTGTGGGAGCGCAGGTGCTCGTTCGTTGGAATGCGATGGATGATTTCCAGAACCAGTTTTCTTAGTTGCTGAGCAAAAAAAAGTCCAAATTCAAGTTACTATCACTGTGACTTATTATTTTAGGTAAATAAATGGTTCTATATCAACAGTATTTTGACTTTATGCAGCTGGGTTCAAACAAGAAAGACGGGATCATTAATCCAAAAGGGAGACAGAAGCAGACGTCAGCCACACCTGTGTGGGTTTCTCCTGCAGAAATTGAACTTCTCCGTCCTGAAGAAACGTCAGGAAGCGAGGAATGATGTGTTCCAAGAAAGTGGAGTACTGAGGTGAAGAGGTTACATTCTGAAATAGACCGGTTCAAAGTTAAAGTTGTTTTCTATCAGAGCTTCCTTCCCCGCCATACACGTATTAGCTGAAAGCCCTTGGCAACACTTCACCCGCCCACAGAAACAAGGCAAATAAATCAACGCTGAAGGTCCGTACCTCGAAGTTCTCGCTGACCTCCTGCATCATCTTCAGCTTGGTTTCATCAGCTGGAAGTTAAAGGAGAGAAGGGAGCGTTAGTCAAACCGGCTGAGGCCGCACTTCCTGCCTCCTGCCTGTCTCCGTGTGTTTATCCGGGGCGTTCAGATCTTATCAGTTTTACTCTCAGCATCCAGCTTGTTTAGAAGGTACATGAAGAAACCCACTCAGACACACTCACACCACACAAACACATTCTCATACACTCGTACCTTCGGCTGGACTCAAGCACATCGCCCTCATCACATCGCCCTCGCTAAACACACGGATTAAAACAAGTAAACCGATGAAACTCTGGAAAACTGACGAAACATGTTCTCCAGCTTTAACACTCTAACTATTAAAACAACCATTTTTAAGCAGGTATTTAGCCTTTACTTTTGATTTATTTACTACTTGTCTCCAGATGCTATGCTGCATCCTTTCATTCAGCTCACCTGTCAAAGCTTCAGGGTGTTTTAAAGCATTTATAACTGCTTAATGACATCGAAAATACAACAGTGAACAAAACAGATGTCTGAAGAATTACAGCTCCTTAATATTTCAAAAAGGTGAAATATGTAAAAACCATGCAGCCATTGAGTCTCTTAAACTTACTGCATCAATTTGGAGCATTTAATTAAAGTAAAACCAGGTGTTATTTGGAAACTTTAAGGAAATTAGAGATTTTCATTCATTAAATATTCTGTGCTGGAAACTTACGTGTGTTAGCATCGGTGAGAGCTGCCACAAACTGCAGGTACTTCTTCATGAGTGTGGTCTGGTCCACCACAGTGGGACTGGGCGTGGGTACAAACGCCATGGTGACAGCAGGGGCAGACTGAGCAGCAGCCTGCACGGATCTGGGAGAGTCACCTCATGTACTAAAGAAACAAAAACAAACCAAAGCTTCGTCTTAGAAAAGCAGGATTGTGTTAAAGTCTTAAACTATCTATCATTTACAGGCTGCTGGTCTGATGGTGAATCAACGGTTAAATCTGTTCATACCAGTCAAAACAGCACAAAGCCTCCAGTGAATTATTGAAAAACTGAAGAGGAAATAGAACAATATTTTTCAGAAAGAACCAAACAAATGAAATAAAGCTAGAACTCTCTTTATTTGCTGTAATTAAACAGGGAAAATGTTTAAAGCAGAAACTACACATCAAAATGTCTTCTGTGTAGTCAGTTCATGAGGATTATGAACCTAATTATAGATATTCTGTCATTGTTCTGAGTGGCAGACCAGCATGAGCTCCCTGAGGCCGCCAGATCAGTCATATTTGTAACAACAACCACCTTTATTTGTCTGAATAAAATGGTGGCACTAGATTAATAAAAAAAAATTCTAAAACGTTACTCCCAGTTTACTTCCTGTGTGACAGCAAAACTGGAAGTAGCCTTTCCTATGACTACAACATAGCTCGAGACTGGTTTGATATTTTAAATGGACAACTGAAGTCAAATAATTGGATCAAGCCCTTTTTGAGCACAATGTTTTTCATCTATTTCAAACATGATACATTCATAACGGCACATTTTTTGCTTCTTTCTTTAACAGGGAAAAATAAGTTTTCCTGAATGTGCTTTTTTTGGTACCTCAAACTCACCCCTACAAAACAATATTAAACATGCCAGTCTTCACAGAGTTTTCATTATGTTATTGGTGAGTCTGAAATGCTTCCATAACATCAACAAGACTGTACACCATGACACTTCTCTCAAAATCTAAAAAGTTAAACCATGTTTGTTTGAAGCTAATCTTATTAAAATTGGGGCCAAGTCAGTGCTGAGCTCATTTTCCAATTTCTTCTCTGAATGCAACATCAATAATGCTGAATTGCCCAAATATATAGTAGGACAATATAAGACTTGACATTTTTTGCTGACAAGTTTTGACATTTTAGGTTAATGTAGGTAATAACTAAACAGTTTTAACATAAGATTTTTTTTGGTGTATTTATCTCAGTGAAAAGCTGTGTAAAGTTTGATTAAAGTCACTACTTTCTACGTCCATTGCCTGAAGCTTTGGACAGGCTTGAGGCTCGTCTAAGCGTGTAAATTCACAGCAAGCCGTGAGAATGCAAAAAACACTTCAACCCCATGCCTGACAGGTCACTCCCTGATGCACGTCTAACTATGACTTTGCATGTAAATCGACTCACCCCCAAATCAACTGCACTCTGCAGTGAGTTATGCTTTAAATGTGTTGCACACTTCGTAACCAAACCGTATTAGTCCTATTTCTTTTCCCTAGAAGAGAATTTAATTTGTTTTAAACTAAGCTCTACATATTGGGGGTTACATTAAGGTATAAAACCTCATGACTAAATCAGTCATTTATATCTGATAAGAACTGGCTCTACACAGAATATTTAACCAACAACATTTTTGTTATCTTAACCAATGAGAATAGGTTCGGCAAAAGAAATGTCAAAAAAAGTGTGCCTTTATAAGAAATCGATAAAACACAAGAAGTCTAAGGGTCCAGTTTAAAACTGATTGTCAAAGAAGCATTTTAAGAAGAATCATCTGTACTAATCTCACATTCAGAGTCCTTCGGAAAACCAAGCAACACCTTAAAACTGAATATAAAAATCAGCCAAAGACAAAGGAATACAGATAGTTAGCCTGAAGAATAGTACAGATAAACAAATGAATAAAGAAGATTAAAATATAAGATAGTTCATAGAACTGTAATAATGAAAAAGGCAAAAAAAAAATGTTTAAACAACAAATGAAGAGACGTAAACTAATGAACATCATGACAATACCTAGCAGCAAAAACAACAACAACAAAAAAATCATAAAGAGACAACATGCCATTTAATAGGCGCTTAGTGATGACGTACACTTTAGCGTCGCAAGGCACCAGTGCCGAGTACTCTTGTAAAAATTAAAGGGTTTAAAAACAACAGTGTCTTTTACCAATAAAACACCACTTCTCTATTTATTTCAGTATGTTTATAAGTTATTTCAGACATGCAAATTTACCTCTTACCTTTTAGCAAGAAAAGAGGCCAATAATTAGCAAGGAAGCTAGCTTTCCTAAAGAAAGAAAGCGCTCGTGCCTGCCTGACGTTAACGTGTACTTTAAAGTAAATAGGTGCCAGTATCACAAAGAAAAACTGTCGATTATTAATAAAATACAATTCAGTAACAACTTGCATTAAAAGAATCTAAATAATCAAGCTAATATACGATCAAAGTTTAAATGACAAAGCGGAGCAGCTTACCCTCCACCACCAACAGGAAGTAGTCCGTCCCACTGCATCTGCCGCCGCGTTCGCGCTCCTGTTTGCAACTACCGAGAATCTAAGATATCCCTCCGCCGGTTATTCCCTATATCCTTAATATTAAAGAACCAAAAACATACCATTTATTCACTTTTGTCAATGGTGTGTGCGGAAATATGGTTTATCAACATTTAGACGTCTTTCGCAATCGTTTTGGGGTCAAAAGCTTTTAATCTAGTACCAACGGAGGGATACAAATATAAAAACGTACGGTGTTAGACCATCGTTTTTGATGGTCTTTTCCAGTTAGGTAATTTAGCATCTATAACGTCTCTCTGGAGCAACACATACACACAAAATTTAGATTAGTTATGAATGTAAATGTGTGTTTTATTTACAGAATTTAGTGGTTGGTTTGCAGACATTAATTTTGGTTCATACATTTGCAGCTTTAAACAGTATTTCCATTTTATACTTATTGTGCACTGAACACATTTAAAAAGAAAGAAAAAAAATAACTGTCCTTAATCCAGTAATATGCCAACACATATAATTACGGTGTGGTGTATAATATTATATCATATAGTTTAATTTATGTGGGTTATTTTATCCAGTAGATGGCAGTGTTGTGTGGACGAAGACTTTCTTTCTTTCTTGACTCTAAGAATATCTTCTATTGAACTTTGGTAATTGAAGGTATTCATTTCTGACAGATGCACATTAAGCCTCTAAAAATGTTCTATTAACAGAACTCTGAATTACCAGGCTGATAATACTCCTTACTGGCAGAGGAAAAACTAAAAGAACGCAAACATGTACATGTAAATCACTTGAGACATGTGGCTTGCCAAAGTGGGCATCCAAAACTCCTGTATAGGTGTCGACCAAAACAGCTAGCAGAAAGAACAACGCTGCATCTAACACAGTGGACAAAACAGAAACACAAAATCCTTGTAATTCCATATGTGCCAGGAGCTTCTAAGAATCTCAGGAAAATAAGGAATATCACACCCAACAGCAAACTCAGACAAAAACGCATTCCATCCAAAAACATCAAAGCCAAAGCTGAGTGGCATTGTGTACACTAGAGAAAATGCAAAACATCTACACAAATGTATGGTGCAGCACAGGAGAGCCAGACACTCTGGAGAGACTGAACTATACACTTTCATCAAAACTAAAATGTTAACATTCTGGACAGTGGTTAACAGGTTTGAAAGCGGGTTACGGAAAAACGCCATCTTTATTGGAGCAGAAAAAGCATCCCTGAACAAAGCAGCCATAATTGCTTTAGCTTCCAAGCATCGACAGCTCTGGAATGGAACTCTTTCCAAAGGGATACATAAGCACAATCATCATGGTTCAAATGGCCAAACACATAATACACACAAACAACAGACTCCAACGTCCCAGGAGAAAGATGGGTGGGTCACTGTAACGTGAGTCGACAGAAATGACAAAGAGTCCTAGATAGGTATTAAAACATCCTCAGAAAAACTGAGTGAAAGTCCAGCTGCCACTGATTTAGGCCTGTTACTGTACATTTAAAACAAAAAATGAAATCCTTCTTCTCAAATATAAAGCCTTAAATGGCCAAGCTCCATCTCATATCAGCAATATGATTGTTCCTTATATCCCCAACAGAGCACTTCTCTCTCACTCTGCAGGTTTACTAGTGGTTCCTAGAATTTCTAAAAGTATAATGGGAGGCAGATCTTTTAGTTATCAGGCTCCTCTCCTGTAGAGCCAACTACAAGTTTTACTCCGTGAGGCAGACACACTCTCTACATTTAAGGGTAGGCTTAAAACTTTCCCTTTTGATAAAGCTTATAGTTAGTGGGGCTGTGGTTATCCTGAGCTATCTCTATAGTTATGCTGCTATAGTCTTAGACTGATGGAGGACATAGGGACCCCTTTTTCATCATTCTGCTTCATTCTATGTCTTTTCTCCCACTCTGCAGAATCTGTTTGTTCAATCTCTAACGTTTTGCTCTCTCTGCTTTTTCTCATAGTAGCTTCTCCTCATCTGTTCCTGTTTGGCTGTGACACCATCCTGGAGAGACACATTAGCTGTGCTGCTGCCATCAACACCTTTGTTTATAGACGTTTGAGATATCTGCCTTTTTTTTTTAGTGTGGTCCTGTTTCTCTGACAGTGACTGGCTGGATGTCCTCTCTTCATACTCTTACATGAGAGCTGGCTCAGAGCTCTTCAGCCTGGCTGTGTGTTTCCTGGACGGGGCTGCCTTTTACAGTTGCCTTTAGTATCTCTGCTTCTGTCTCCTTTAACCCCAGTCGGCCTCGGCAGATTGCTGCTCACACTGGGCCTGGTTCTGCTGGAGGTTTCTTACTATTAAAAGGGAGTTTTTCCTCCCCACTGTCGCTACAAACATGCTTAGTGTGAGGGATTGCCTTTGAGTCAATAGGTCGATAGAATCAACTGGTTTTCCTTAGATAGAAAACTTTAAATCAATTTGACTAAATTATCTGGTGAACTTTAAAGTCCGTTGAGATGACATGTGTTGTTAATTGGCACTGTATAAATAAACTGTTTGGAATTGAACTATACATCAGTCTATGGGCACTATGAATGAATCATAAGAGGGGTACTATCATTCTCACTCAGAATAAGATGTTTTTACATAACCAGATTAACTGTCATGATGGCTTTCAGAGTAAACCCACATGCAGAACACACCACGGAGTCAGGGGTAAAAGTTCAACAGTTTATTAAAGGTTGCACTAAAACATGTACTGTAATCATAGATTTCTGGTTCAGGCCCGGGACAGACTTCACGAGGGTTCTGTGTAGAGAGGGGACAGTTTGGTTAGCCAGGGATCTGGGGAAAACTTTGATTCAGTGTTGTACCTGAAGATATTCAGACAGACATGATGAGAGAGGGAACCAGTTGGGTCCAGAGTTTGTGGATGCAGCAGAGTGTTCGCAGCGGCAGAGCTTGTCTTCAGACTCAAGTGTTTTCTCAAACCTTGTGGGTTTGCCAGAGTTCTCTCCTGAGAACATAGATCAGATCCAGTTTGAGAGTCTTCAGGTTTGGCTCGTGAGGGCAGGCTGACAGGTCTAGGAAGCAGAGAAGACAGAAACAGGTTAACAACAGGTTACTCCTCTGAGTCTCAAAGAAACAGACTAGCAGGCTTGGCTCAGATTTCTGCTAACCATAACTTGGCAACACTCTGGCACTGAAGACAGGTCTGGCCGCTGCTTATGTAGCTGGTCTCCTGATGGGCTGATGATCCTCAGGTGTGCAGGAGGCTCCAGTTCAGGAGACCCATAGTGCTCTCTGCTGGAGACAGGTGGCAGATCTCCAGATCCCAACACTAACAAGTAAGGTGCAACAGTAGTTGCATGTAAGTGTGGAACTATGGCAACCTCTGCCTGTTTTTAGAGATCCTACAGACCTGCTGGGAAATTATTACAAGTGGCTAATCACCCCTTTCAGATTAACATTGGAAATTATTTTTCAAGCTCTGTACGAAACTTACAGCAGGAAACTAATGGTCCTTTACCCTTGGTACCAACTATATTTGCCTTGGTTGACTTTATCTCAGCTCTTCTCTACATGGCTGGTTTTCCCTTACAGTTGAGTTCTACTTTAATGTTTTTAGATGATAAGAATACATTTTCTTTGAAAGTACTTTTCTTATTACCCAATGACACCTCACAAATCCAACAAAATATCAAGAATAACTAATGATCAAAACAACAACAAGAAAATAATTACCAGGAAAAAAATTCAGAGTGTAGGGATTTTTGAACAGGTGTGTTTTAAAGTTAGACTTGAAGTTAAAAAAAACTGTCAGTATTGCAAAATCCAGAGGAAGAGCAAAGTGGAGAAAGGTCTGCTCCCCATGGTGGTAATGCGGGAAGTAGTAACAGGTGAAGGTGAGTGGAAGAAGAGGATCTCAGGGTGCTCGAGGGAATGTTAGGTCAAGTCGTCATAACAGTACGACCCCACTGTCAAAACATTAGCAAATAAGGACCTTCACCAGCTTATGGCTCTTGGTCAAAGAGAGTCAGAGAAGATGTCCCCCCTGGTGTACTCTAAGTGTGCCCTAGAGCAGTTGTGGCTACTTGCCACCATCAGTGTGTGAATGTGTTTGTAAATGTCTGAATTTAGTATGAAGCGCTTCTGAGTCTCCTAAAACAAAAAGGTGCTATACACATGCCAAGTACCATTTACTATTTATCATACTAAAGGATACTGGCTAGATGACATATGGGTAAAGTAATACTCCATAATGCAAGCTTGCTATTGTACACAATAAGCCTGGCATACATCAACTTGATAAAGATCTTTGTTGCATTTATGCAGTGTGGTATGTGCATGGGAATAGATGATTACACTCTCCAGCAGTAACCAGGAGAGGTTAGTTGCGCGTAGGCGGTGCTTTTTGCACCACTCTGTACTGTTGGAAAAAAAAAAGTATAAGAAATATGTTAAGCTGTACCATAACAGGAGCTGGATTAGTTTAAGAAGTAGTGGAGTTGGTTATATAGCCCATTCCCTGCAAATATCCCTTGTGGTCTGAACCAAGCCTTCCAAAAGTCGGCCATCATGGGCCACAGTCTGGCAGCATTCAGTGTTTTCTCTGCTTCAGCACAGATGATTCTGATTATTTCAGTTCAGTAAAAGCCTATTAATTAGCTATTATTCGAATACAGTCCTTGGGGGCCAATGTTCTGCTCCTTTTTGATGCTTTAAGACACCTAAATTAAATAATTAGGTCATATGCAGGACTCTGTAGAGCTAGACTTTAACTTAGGATGAATAAAGTCATTTGATTCAGGTGTATCTGTGAAGATTCTCAGTCATCCAGGTCATGGAAAAGCTTGAAAAAGTTCAGTTTGGGCAACTGGTTTTCTAGAACACGTTTCGCCTCTCATCCAAGAGGCTTCTTCAGTTCTAACTAGTGGTGGGGAGCACTGAGATTAATATACTGTAAGTGTAACAAAGGCTCCCACTTCAATGAGGCATGCGACCTAAACCACTCTGACGAAGGAGTTAACGACCCATCAGGACCCCTTAACGA